TATATATATACTTTGTTACAGTGAAGAGAAACCGTAATAATTAAAATGGACTTAATTGTCCTGAAAATAATGTCACTACAGAAAAATATTCAGGGTCCTAATTGTTAACAAACAAGCAACCATAAATGAATAAATATTTGTTTATTTATTTTTACTGGTTAATGTTTCAATTTAACAAAGACTGTAAATCATTCAAGTGTATTTATGTTGTCTTTACTCTCTATAGCCATGTCAGACTTTGTACCAGGTCTTCCATGATGCTATCACCAGGTTAATCGAGTATGGTGTGCTCATTGTTGCTGAGGTAAGCGGTGTCTACTCTTCTTTGTCTTATTTCTCATTTGAGACTTAAAGTTTTGCTGTTGGCTTATTCTAATGACATGATTGGATTTTAGGTGGATTCCTGAAGATCCTATGATCTCATTATTGCCAATTCATTACTGACTTTCTGAATGAGAGTGAATACTGTAGAGTATAAGTGTTGAAATTATTCGTGTCTGCGATGCATTGCGATGTGGACGATGCAGTAATAGACCATAATCGATTATAGCCTACTGACATCATTCACATACGTGCTTGTCATGCAAAATAGATCTGTGCATTAGTGTGAATGCAGCCTATTAAAGCTGCCACGGTCTATGATGTAATCAGTCATAATAAAACAAAAATAATGCTGAGGAAAAAAGAAAAACCCATGACTATGATTGTATGTAAATTTTCGGAAACTTAAAGCACTCTCAGATACAGAAAGTATCACTTGTAATTGTCTTTTTCCTCCTTTATTACTTCATATTTGCTTGTATGTTTTGAAGCTATTTTGTGGGGGGGTTAAATTGTTAATAATTGTTTTGATTTATTATTAATTTGTAATTATTTTAAAAAGTAGCCTGTTTATATAATTTACTAAAAATGCACAAAATAAATTTGAAATAAAATCGTGATGCATTGTGTAATCAAATCGAATCGTGAAACCAGTGACGATTCACACATCAAATAGTAATTATTTTAGAAAAATATTTGACTGAAAAATGTTTCTTAAAATCATCTTTATGTTCTTGTGTTCAGGAGGACCAGGAGGAGTTGAGCCCTTCTGAGGAGCCTTGGCCCAAGAAGTTTCCAGAGGCTCTTGCTTGGCGAAGTGATGAAGATGAAGAAGACAGTGACTTTGGAGATGAACAAACAGACCGTTACCTGAAGGTCTGAAACTTATCAATCTATAAAAGCATGACAATTTATGAAAGTGGTCTATATTTCAGGTTATTTAAAAAATAAATAAATACATTCCCTTGTAGAATGATGTTCCAGCAGCCCACTACACAGCTGATGCAGAGTTTCCCCACTATTTTAAAACCCCTACATTAAACATCTTAGTAGAAATATTGCCATTACATGTTGTTAAATCCAGATGTGCTTTTTTATTTTATTTTAGGTGAGCCCATCAGCTGAGCACCAGGAATTTTATACTTTTCTGCAGAGGATTCTCACTCCGGTGATGGAGGCCTACAGTGGTGCAGCTATCTTTGTACACAGCCTGAGTTCTCCCATGTCAGAGAGAGAGTATACACACAAGCTTTTCAAGTATCTGCTGACACGTACAGAGAGAGGAGTGGCTGCATATGGTGAGCAACCGGCACTTTCCATTTCTTTGTTTGAGCGTGTTTTTCCTCTCCCACCTTAAAGAAAACCCAAAACGTATTATTCCCCTTAATTGTTCTTTCCCAGCACCGTCACCTTTATCTTTTAATGAATGTTATTTTTATCCATTTTGCCATTACTCATTCTTGACCTGTATTCATGGTTAGTTCATATCTTCATATGTTTAAGCACTCTGAGTTATAATCTTGTAGGTGTTCTATATATGAATGTAATGATATTGATGACACTAATTGTTATGTGCTTTTTTTTTCTTAGGAGAGAGTGCCACACACTACCTCGTAAAGAATACAGTGAGAACATTTAAAGAGCTGGGGGTGAGAGAGCATTCCTCTGACATTTGTGCTTAAAGGTAGAACCTATTGATAAGAGAGCCTATAAGTGGGCGTGAATTTCCACTGACTCAAAAGTCATAACTTCCTTATGTTCAGATGTGACAATGCACGTGTTTCTCATCCTCCACTTCTTGCATCATCAATGCAGTCGTCAATTATTATCAGTGAATAACAAATTACAATTTTAATCTGTTCATGACTTCAGAAATTGCTGTATGGGCTGCTTTTTTCATACTTACTTTTTAGGCAGTTTTTTTAAAGTTCTAAACTATATCCTCTCATTTTATCTTTTGGGTTTCATAGATTAAAAAAATAATGTTAAAGAAATTAAACAACATATGAGGGTCAGTAAATTATGTTGTAAAGCAATATTGCAGTTCATTTTATTCATTTATCTTTGAATATTTTAAAAGCCATTTTCTATTTTTAAAATGTTTATGTACTTCAGAGATTACAGAACAATGTTGACATGCAATGCTCTTTCCTTTTTTCTTTACTTTTTAATAACTGAAAATGAAAATGTTTTGAAAGAACTAGAACCACTGGTCTAAATTTAAAGGGGTGGTTGATTGCGATTTCACTTTTTTAATGTTAGTTAGTGTGTAATGTTGCTGTTTGATCATAAACAATATCTGCAAAGTTACGAAGCTGAAAGTTCAATGCAAACGGAGATATCATCTTTTAAAATTCTGGCAGTTTAATGCCTACAAAAACGACTGGTAAGGGACTACAACAAGTAACTTCCCGGGTCCATCACAACACACTGGGCCAGCTAATCAGTCAGAGCCCATCGTGTATTTCTGAGGGAGGGGCTTCATAAAAGCAGGAAATGATCAGTGTTGTTCAGAGGAGAAGGGACAGAGAGGTGTGGAATAAAGGTAAATTATGTGAAAAATAATGCATTTTTTAACAAACAAAGCATTAACACATGTTAGACTGCACCCCATAAACACAATCAAGCCTATAAAAAAAACAGTCAACCACCCCTTTAAAACAAGAAAATTAATTGAATGTGCACATACTATTCTTTCCTCTTTTTTTTTTTTTCTTTTTTTTTCTTTCTGAAGAACTTTCTGTGCAAGTACTGAAAGAATCATGTTTTTTGTGTTTCACAGGTGCTTCAAGAGAGACGAGAGGGTAGTGTGTGCCGTCTGGAGCTGAGCAGCACTTTTTTACCTCAGGCCAACAGGAACAAACTCCTGCACTACATTCTGGGTTTCGGTCTGCTGTGAGACATTAGGACCATCAACACAGCTGCGCGGCTTTCCACCCCACTCAAGGGCTTTTTACTGGCTAATCATGACTGTCAAAGGTGCTATACTAAGGAAAGCTTTACCTGGAAGTGCCTTCACCAAACACCTCATACTAGACTTAAGTTAGTCTTCCTTTCACTGTAAACCCTCCACTTCCGCACTACTCAATACTCAAGCAGTTCTCTCAGCCCTTTCGTTTACTAGAAGCTTCCATTCACACAATACTGTACCCGTTCTGCCAGTGAAAGCCCTTGGTTTTCAGCTCTCAATGTTTATATGCAGTTTTTAACTCAGATGAGTTCATGAAGTCACTTTCAGTTTTAACAAACACATCACTGGGATGACGTTTAAAAAGGGCATTTGATTTTCTTTTTAACCACTGTTACTGTCAGAGCACGTAAAGAAACTCTCTACATTATTTTGTGGCAGAGAATAGAATGATAAAACTTGTGTGGAGCATCTTTTAATAACAAGTGAATGACATAATGGAAATAGTGACTCATTTTTGAAAACCCTGCAGCAAGTATTTACTGAGAAATCTGAGCCTTTAATGTTCGAATCGTGTAGTTTAGGTCATGTTTATTCACTTAGTCACGACACATGGGTGCAATTGGACGTCCATGAATGATAGTTACAGCTATGATATTGTGTAATAAAGCAAACAGTAGATACATGTAATGGTTTTAGCAGGCCTTGATCATGTGGGGGAAACATTACTGAAAACTGAGCTTGAATGCTTCTTCTCGGCTGACCATTACAAGATATGTTTGTAAAATTTAGAGGAGGTTCTCTTGCTGCCTAGCTCTTTGATTCCCTCCTCAGTTACTAATATATTTTATTTTGGAGTTAAGATCCTTGGTAGCGAGTCTTCTATACTGTGAGCATGTGTGCAATATGTCTGTAGTATGTGAATTAAACTGTATTTATGCCCCAAATCTGTCTCAAAGCACAATATAACCAGAATGCTGAAAAAGGCACATTGCCTTCATAACCGCTGGAATATTGTGTTTGTTGTTGAATATATCGGGAGCCTGAGGGCAGGCAAAAATTGAGGATACCCTGTAATGTCCCAAAACTACAATTGACTTCATCTTTATTCTGTTTTTATTATCTGCTCTTTAGAAAGCCTCTTCTGCTGATTTATCATTTCCAATTTCGTATGTCATGTGTTTTGCATTATCCCGACCAAACCCCATGCATGTTTAGACAAGTCGTTGAAGAAAACTCCTTTGTACGTCAGCCTCTAGGGTGACCGTGATTTCACCAAGTACAACATGTTCCTGGATCAACATCCTTGTTGATCCTGGAACAACATTCCTATCAACCAATCAGAATTGAGGGATAACTTTTCAGGAAATATCTGTTTTAGGCTTACAATCAGGGTTAGGTGCTTCTACACCCTTGTTAATCAGCTATAATTTCACACTGTTTTTAGGAATAAATTATGGGTAGGGTTAGGTTTAGGGGTAGGGATTGGGTTAAGTCTAAATCTTTGGACAGTTATGTTGATCCAGGATCAACAAAAGATGTTGATCCAGGAACATGTCTTACTTGGCAAAATCACGGTGACCCAGCCTCTAGACGTTGCTACGCAATGGACCTGTTTTTACTGTGCAAGAATGTAGTTGGCAGGCATTTACACTTTGCGTAGGCTACTTGGAGACTTTGATTAAAAAAAGATACAGGGTGTTCCCACGATCTTGGAAACATTTGAAAGGATCCAGGTATTCCAAGGCTGTGAGTTCCAGGGCTTGGGAAGTTGTGGAATTCTCTTCATTGCATATCAATTTAGTTATACTCGGCTCTAAAATGTTTTTAAAAAATCCTTTCCAGTAATCTTGGGCTGCGTTCCAGTTCGTTTTTTTATGCCCTTCACAGTCGCAAACTTCCCTCTGTCTCGTTTACTCGGATGTACGTCATTGATTACGTTGCATGAGGGCCCACTTCTGGCGGAACACTTGCAGTGGGCTGAATTGGAACGTCCTAAGCCAGGGATCCTCAAATCTGGCAACTTTCCTGCAGAGTTTAGCTCTAACCCTAATCTAACGCACCTGAGCATGCTAATCAATGTCTTCAGGATCATTAGAAAATCATAGGTAGGGGAGTTTGATCAGGGTTGGAGCTAAACTCTGCAGTGCATTGGCCCTCCAGGCCATGATTTGAGGAACCCTGTCCTAAGCCCTTGATCACTTAGAATCCGCTATGGAGTTTTGTTTACATTTTTTTCCCTTAAGAATTTGTTTGGTGCAGCATTCTATATGTATATAGGTATGCTTGGGCTGTTATAAATGTTAAAAAATAATAATAATTTATGTATTATAGAGTTGTTTGGGGTGGGGATAAATTAAACGCGATCGGCGGTGACGTCACAATCGTGTTACATTGTGGTCTGTGGAGTCGCGTGAAGTGTGCATATGAAGCAGACTCGCTCCCTCGGTCAAAATCGGGGGGTCGAGGGTCTGTCCATATAAGCTTCATGAAGTGGAACACACTTCAGAATGGCAGCGGGGATTCCCCCAAGGGGAAGTGCTTAGGGAAGTTTGCGAGTGCGTGTCTAAAAGTGGAGTGAATCGCAGCCTTGAACTACAGGAAAAGTGAGGGAAATTCCTTGGTCAAAATGTGTGGGAGCCTTGGTAGAATATATAAGCTTATTTACGTCACGCCTTATGAGAGCAGCTCAAATTACTAAGTTGTATATTAGATTTGAAGTGACATTGAAAGTGTTTTTGAGATTGAATAAAAGCTGTGAAGGTTTGTAAAGTTACACACAAGGCATATTTTAGCAGTTTGCACAAATTTGTTCTCTGTGTGTCAATATGGCCGCAAATATTCAGGTTAAAATTGCAATAAAACATCTGTTTTGCTACTTAATAAATGCTGTGCAGTATATACTGCATACTTCCTGTAATTTGAATCAGTTGGGATTATTCCACATTTAAAAAATGATATTATCATGTTGCATTATAAATTGAAATTTTTAAAAATCAATCAAGAAATATTAAAAATCACAGCTGATATTATTTACTATTCATTTGACACTAGTAACGCAAGATCAAGCGCATTGCATCGTGAGATGCAGTGCTTCATGCCGAATAAGCTCTCTTAATGCTTATTTACATGGCTGAATTAATGCTGCTCTGTGGCTGCTCATAATTCTGTATAAAGATGTAATGCTGAATAAAAGCCAGATTATGCCTGCTTTGACCCACCTCAGCCCATAATATAAAAGTATACAGTTGTCATTTTTATGCAAATGCATTTATGCCACCTATGAGTTGCATTAAACAGTCTGTGTAAAGACACCTAAATGCCACTACAGAAACATTTTTATGCTGCCTTACATGCAGTATAAATGTGGCATTATACGGTATAATTCTAATTTTTGCAAATAGGTCATCTGTGTATTCTATGTGTATATCATATGTGCACATTATACATTGGTCAAATGTAATGCAGCAATAGTATGCTATTCTGAAAATAGCCAACGTTTTTGAGTCGAAGGAGGCAGAATAATAGACAAAATGTGATTCCTGACTCTTCTGTACATTGTGTGAATGTTCAATCAGCACTGAAGATTGTATGTTTGAAATTCACTTGAATATAAACAGCCATATGCATTTCTCTCTCCCAGCAGACAGCAATAAGATGTTTTTTTTTTATTAGTTGCCTGTCCATTAATGCAGTCATGTACTCTCATCCCAAGTGAAGTGTGGTCAGCAATCGATCAATAGATCTTTTTTGTGCTGTGAACAATATATATTTGAGGTGTTATTTTAAATCATTCTCAGAAAACAAAGATTAAGGCAGTCACATTTAATGTTCTCATATCAAATATTGTATGTTTTCCTCAACATTTTTTAATTAGCTTTGTATATATTAGTTGAGATCCTACAGTTGTCTTGTGGGATTGGGGAGTTTACTAAATCATATTCTGTTCACTTATCTGAAAGCTGTAAATCTATAGAAGAAAGCATTTATGCTGTTTTTGTTGTTGTTTTTTTTAAGCATGTTGTCTGAGTGATGTGTCATTTAGTGCAAGGTTTCCTCAAACTGCGGTTTGAGAGATGGTGAAAAGTTAATAATTCAAAACTCAAAAATAACTGGGGAAAATTGGGGAATACCTGTTTTATTACAGTAATATTGAAAGAGAATGACACTAACAGTGAGGTCATGTTTTTTTGTAACTCATTTTTTTCTGTGGTTTCATGCACTGTTGCAGATATGAAATAAATGAATGTTAACAAATAGTAGACTTAATTTTCTAAGTCTAAGCAATGTTACTTTGGATTATTTGATATACCAAAATTCAGACTTGACCATAACTAAATGTTGTGATCACACAATATTGTGCAATGTACATGAAGTTAATCTTTACAACCTGTCAGAAAATTCACATTTTATTGTTGTATATTTTTAGGCCAAATCCCTGAGATCCACACAAGAACATCAATTATCTTTGTTGTTATTGTATTTATTATCCCCACAATGGTCTACCTGTCAGGTCTCCCAGTGTGACCAGCTTCCAGGAAATCCTCTAAAATCAGCAAGGCTGTAAGACCAGCTAATATTGGAAAGCCATTTGTGCTGGTTTAAGCCGTTTTTTCCAGCAGGGAATATAAACATGCAGAGTTTCAAAGGGAGGGCATTTAAAAAGAGATGCAAACTCTGCCCACAACGACGGCAACAGTTTAAGGAGGGCACTGAAGAAGAGGACCTCAAAGAGAACACTTCCACAATGAAGAACCAAAGCAGAGGTCTGAGTGTTATTCTGCCCAATAACAAAGAACTGAGCATGACTGTTGGGGTGAGTGAAATGGATTTATACTTCCTAATATCACAATGATCTTTGAATATCTGACATGGAGTGCCACTTTAAGAGTCACAGCCTCTTTTATTTTTGTTATAAGTTATATTAAGTATGATTGATGTTGGATGTTATAAAATCTTTCCATATATTTTGCCTTTGTGATGAACATTTATTCAGATTTCCGACTTATTAAAGTTACAGCACTGCTTAAAAACAGCCTGAACTGGCTTTCTGGTTAATTTCTTTTATACGTCGCTTGTCTTACTGTTTAACATCTCTGTATTACAGCTTAAAGACAGAGGTCAAGACGTGTTCAAACAGCTGTTCGAGCTACTCGGCACCTCAGATCTTACCCTCTTTGGTCTGAGTGTGGTAAAGGGTCTGTTTTCCTTTTTTTGTTTATGTATGTAAAACTGCTGACTAAGCCCTTTGTTAGAATGATTTAACTAAGGGCTGAGCTTTGCAAAAAGACAAGAATGAAGGGAGTACCAGCTCTGTTTGTCTAAACCAAGGGTAGCCATTTCAACTTGTCTTGTTCATTCCATTTCATTTAGACAATCAACCCCTGTTTTTGGATCTGGAGCAAAAATTGTCCTTGTATCTCCCAAAGTCCTGGAGAAAGAATACATCAAAGGTAAAATCAAGCTCAAATAAAGCTGTCATGTGAAAAAATTAGGACACCCTATTGAATTCCATGGTTTTCTGTATCGGGACATAATAAAAAAAAATCTGGTTCTTGGCAGGTCTTAAAATTTGGAAAATAAAACCTCAGATGTACAACAACACATGACACATTGCACCATGTCATTATTTATTGAACAAAAATAAAGCCAAAATGGAAAGGCCATGTGTGACAAAGTTAGGACACCCTTACTGTTAACATAGGAATTAAGAGGGTAAGTAGCAGTCAGGCACTGCTAATCAGATGCCTTTGATTAACTGATCATCAGTAAGAGTAATAAAGAGTCCTCTGTAAAAGCAGACGTTTTGGCAGTTTGCTGGTCTGGAGCCTTCAGGTGTGTGTTAACACAATGCCAAGGAGGTAAGACATCAGCAATGATCTTAGACAAGCAATTGTGGCTGCCATCAATCTGGGAAGAGTAACACGGCCATTTCCAAACAATTTAAAGTCTACCATTCCACAGTGAGAAATGTTATTCACAAATGGAAGACATTCAAAACAGACACCAATCATTCCAGGAGTGGACGTCCCAGCAAATTCACCCCAAGTTCAGACCGTGCAACGCTCAGAAGAATGGCAGACAACCCAAGAACTTCACTGCAGACTCTACAGGCTTCAGTTAACATGTTAAATGATAAAGTTCATGACCGTACGATTAGAAAAATATGGGACAAGTATGGCATGTTTAGAAGGCTTGCCAGAGGAAAGCCTCGTCTATCTAAAAAAAACGAAGTTGCATCTGAAAAAACTTCTAGAGCAATGTCCTTTGAACAGACAAGACCAAAGTGGAGATGTTTGGC